ATAGAAAAGGCTCCTGCAGGAGCAGACACTGCTGTGGCAGTAGAGAAATACAGATATGGCTCCTGCAGGAGCGGCTACTGCTGCAGCAGTAGGGAAATACAGAAAAGGCTCCTGCGGGAGACGCGACTATCGCGGCAGTAGGGAAATACAGAAAAGGCTCCTGCGGGAGCAGACACTGCTGCAGCAGTAGGGAAATACAGAAAAGGCTCCTGCGGGAGCTGACACTGCTGCGGCAGTGGGAGAGAGAGATAAAGGCTGTGTTGGGATGTAAAATGGAGATGATTGGGGATGGACTAGGGAAAAAAGGGGTGACTGATGAGGGTTTGGTGGGCTTCCTTTTTGTGTGAGCGGTCCGATCGGATGTAGCTCTTGAAGACTTCTGATGACTGGCGACCAAGTGTTTGGCTCTGCTGTTGGGAAAGGCCTTTTTGAGCCGCTGTGGTGGCTGCGAATATTCAGAAAGAATGGCTGGAAAAATCATCGGCTGGGCTACCGGAAAGGAGTAGAACAGACTTGAGGTGTTTTTGGAACCAAAAACAGGAGACGGGGCGGTTAGAGTCATCTGTAAAAAGAGGGTCGGAAAGGGATATGGATTGTGATTTCCTGAGCTGAAGGAAGGCTAGGAGGGCTTGGTATGGGAGTATAGGTGATTGTAGGTTGAAAATATAAATAAAGTGGCCTTTCTTTGTCTGGTCTGTCTTACTTTGCTTTGTAAAGAATGAAATGGCTTCGTCGTCCAAGACTGCTAGATCGGAAATAGTGGGGTGGATATTCGGGTTAAAGATGGAAGTGGTAGTGAGCTAAATAGGACAAACATAGCATCGCGCGTACGAGTGGTGTGGATGGAATTGTAACCTCTGCGGAGTGTGGAAATGCATTTAGTCAAGATTTTTAAGGTTATGGGATGCCTGGTGTCTGGGCGAGTGGGATGGGGCTCTTTGAATGCCTTTGATGAGAAGGGAGGTCTGTGAATTGGCTATTTGAGGTGAGGGTGAACCGTATAAGAGTTTATGGAAAAATTGAATTCCGCTTAGATAGCTTTTAATGGAGGTTTTAATGGAGGACTTGGAGGTTTTTGTTAATGTTGAGTAGGGAAAAGTCGGGGAACGACAGCTTATAGGCAGAATGGAATGCTTTAAAGCATTTCCATGCTGTTAAATAAGATTGCAGGGTTCTGGGAGTAACGGCTTGTAGAATATAATCCAGGGTAGCTTCAGCCTGACAGCCTGAATTTCTGAAAGGCAAAACGAGAGAGAGAGAGTCAGCTATTTAGTTTTTGGGCCCGGGAATGTGTTTTGCAGTTATGATGAACTGGTCGCAAGCCGAGATCCAAATTAGACGTCTTAGCAAAGGCATTAAGGCGGGTGAATGAGAACGGCCTTTATTAATGCATTGCACGGAAGCCTTTAACCGATTTTTTAATTAGACGATTAAAAAGAGATGGATTAGGTAGGGTACGGCGTAATTGTTGGAGAGGATCCAGCAAATTGCTTCTTGACAACATGTGAAAATTTTAGGGCTGCTTCTGCAGCCGAATGTGAGGCGGACGGAAAAGTAAAAATTTTTTTTTCCATTACTGTGGAAATGGTATAATATGCCGAATAAGTGCCAAAAATCTGGATGGATGGGCATCACCTTTAAAGGCAGAGGTGATGTCAACTCTGGCCATACAAGTGCCGCGACCTGCGTCTTTGATCATAGTAATGGCTTGGTCGATGTCATGGTAATGAAGAGAAAATTCTTCGAGCGGGATGAGGCTGTTAATGCTCGGGAGCATGGAATTATGCGGGGAAGAAAGATCGATTATAAGGTGTTTTTTTACCAGAACATTTTCATGGGACTAACACGGAAATGTTAAAGGGGGGAACGGAAAAGGGGGCGATCATGAAATTTGCGTCAGTTTCTTTCTTGATTAGAAGACCGACTCTCTCGGGTTCGGCGGGAGCGGACTGAAGATTGGGGCAGATGCGGCTTTGGGAGGGGAGAATTTCGACACCGGGATGAAATCCATGTGAGAGACCCGACAGTAGATAGTTAGAGAAATCAGAGTCAGGGTGATGAAGCAATTCAGAAGATAAACGAGAGACATTTACAGGAGTCGATAAGTATTATTTAGTATTTTTATTTGCAGCTTTTTGGACAGGGCAAATCAAGCGGGCGTGAGCGACTGCCGGTATTGAAGCTGGTGCATCCTGCTGGAGAAGGATGGGGGGCGACTGTTGGTGGAAG